ACCCACAAGATGGTGGTGTAAGCACGGTTTTCCCCGCAGCAGGCATCCCATCCCCGGTCCTGGCATGCCTCTCTAGAAATCAGCGCCTGAACCCGCTCTTAAGCAAAAGCAGGGGAAGGCTGGTCATCATTGTCTCTGAGAAGAAGTGGCTCTCCGGCTCTCCGAAAAATCAAGTGGGTCCTCTGGCCAGAAGAAGGCACATGTGATTTCTGGTCCTTTGATGCCTGGAGCTGGCCCACGTCCCCCAAAAACTGAGTGAAGAACTTCCCCTTGATGCTCAATCTAGAGATGCGTCTCCAACTCATTTTAGTCCAGGTGAGAAACTGGGATATCACTGAAAACACAAGCACTTAAAGGATCAGAGATTGAAACCTCCTTCATGTTCACCTGAGGGAACGCAGATACCCTGACCCCAGCTCTGGGTCCTGGACTCCCTAAGACTTTTTGAATTCACCACTCACTGCACCGGTTCCTGCCCATTTCAGCAGTGCAAGGGAGGAACCACCCCTCTGCCAGAAAATTCACCCACTTCATCAGAAAAGCTACTTCTCTGAACACAACGGCTTTTGGTCAGTACACATTTGAATGAGTTGCTTTAAGTGTGGAGAATCGTTGGTCAAGGCAGACCTGAGCTTCTCAAAGCACTTCATCCTGTTCTCTCTGTATCGCTGTCCAGATTTGGGGCCTCACTCAGCAAGTGGTAGGTGCAGTCATGGAGATGGGGGGGCGGGGGGGATTTCTAAGGGAGTCCACTGACCTCTGTGAAGTTACTGTGAAACTAGGAGCAGAAACAGGTCTGCTCCCAAGAGCAGGATATCCTATATTCACCAAAAACAAATCATCCACCCCAGTTTTGATTTCCCCACAAGTCTGACACTGATGTCACTCCCTGAACTTGCCGGTCTCCCCCTTCAGACACTCACACAAGCAGGAAGGAAATCAAGCACACAGCTTTCAACTTTCACATGCTTACAGCCAGTTTGGCTCTGCCATTCCCTGCTCCTTGGGGAGCCCCCACTGAAGTTATGCAGATAAGGCTGCTAAACCAACCCCCCTAGGACTGACTTCTCCATTCTGACCCATGCCCTAAAGCCCCATTAATATCTGGGACTCCTTCCAGACCCACCCTGCTAGCATCAAATGGTCGGTGCTGTACCAGCTTGTCCTAGTGAAGTTAGCAAGGCTTCAGGACAGTCCAAGCTTTGTAGGGTTGTTCAGACTTGTGAAACACCTACAGAGGGCTCAATGACTCAAAAAAGCCTTTAATTTTATGTCTAAGTGCCACCCTTCACAGTGTGTTAAAAGAGAAAGGAAATTGCACAGAACGAAATGGAAACAAAAAAGAAACATTCCCACTTGTGTTTGAAAAACTGTTAGGGAAGTGAATAGCTTTTAATGTGTAATGAGCATCCATTCCTTCAGAGAGCTTTGGAAATCTTGACCATTAATTTGATCTTCTTTTTCTCCCCACTTGGATCAGTAGAAAGATTTTCTACATGTACAGTTTCAGACCCTTGTTCATCACTGTTAATTTTCCCTCTGTATCCATTTCAGGATCCTCCTCCTAGATTTTGTCAGTCACTGCCACAGAGATTCAGCAAGGCTGTCTTGTAATCGCCACTGGTGTCATCCTGACAGGAGAAAAGATTATAAAAAAAAATTAAAAAAAGGTGAGCGTGGAAGTTCCTCTGCATGCTCCGAGTGCTGACTTTGTCAGTCCATGGAATATGCCCACACAGGAAAAGGACTTTGGAAACAGCAAGCCAGACTTCAGCAGAGTTACTGCCAGCTGACACACCATCAAAAGTGAACAGAGAAATGAGGCTTGTAGCCGCCACCTGAAATAACATGTATCAAGTCCAATTCTTTTCTTTGGAATGCAGGTGAGCAATTGATCATGGCTGCATCCCACAGAGTGGCACAGACAAAGTCAGCACGAACGAGAGCAACGACCCTGTTGTGTTCAGATTTTATGTCCCTGGGTATTTGTGTGGCATTCTCTCCCCTACAGGAAGGGAAAGGGCAGCATAGTTAGCCCTGACACATGACATTTTCTTAAAAAGCTACAAATACGGTCATTTTGATCTAGAGAAGCACTACAGAGAATCACTAGATAAAAAAAAATTTGCTCCCTTTGAATGTTTCGTGATGACAGGTGTAAAGCCAGTTCCACTTCTCAGAAGGAATGAATATTCCGTACAGACCCTTGAAGACTGATCATTAATCAACATGACAGACACTGACAGTGTCAATTAGAAGAAAGGGCCTTCATTACAGAACCAGACTTCCCATGGGGACTGCTAAGGATAGGGCTTCTGTGCCATTTGCACTGGGGGAGAGGAATGTCCCAGAGTCCTTAGGACAAATGGTAAACCCCAGCATTTCAGCCCTAATACGGGAGGGTCATTCACTCAGGGCTGAGACTCAAACCTCAAAAGCTACAATAAGCTTTGACAAGGTTCAGTTTCTAAACCTGTCTCACCACAGTATAGACCAGGCCTTCATCTGGCATAAGTCAGTTAAAAAAAACACAAACCAAACCAAAAACCAAACCAAGAACAAAAAGAAAACAAAACAAAAACCCCAGCACTGTTTTGACTTATATGGCACTGGCTTGGGGTAGTAAAGGTCAGCAGAGAGAAAGAGGAGAAAACAGCACAGCAGTGTGGGAAAGGTGTAACAGGGAGGATTAATTTAATCTAGATTCATCTAGGAGATCATGAAGTGCATGGATACAGAGTCTGGTCCGTGAAAAACCTGGAGCAGTCTCTTCTCGGGTTTGGCTTTGCCCAAGTCACTTACAGAGCATACAATCTGACTCACCTTTCAGGCACATGTGTCTCTCAGGGAGCTGATTGTTAATAGGCCTAATGAAGGAGAGCTATGATCTTAGCAGAAATGACATTTTTACTGAAAACAACCATGGAAGCATCCCACAGTGCTGGACAGGTTAGGAATGTATGTGATGGCTAAGAACCATCATATCAAGGTGCTGCTTACCAGAATCATACTGGAGAGAGACTTTCCTGCTATATGCTTGAATTCCACCTTTATAAGATTTAAGTCAACTTCACTTCGAGAAACGATCACCCTTATAAGAGTCCCATCACGGGTGCCAGCCCCCTGAAATAACAGATATATCAGTCTGTGGTGTTAGTGGGTGTTCAAGGGATAAGCTGTTGCAAATTGGTCCCGGACAGGAGGAGTCAGCTTTCAAACATTGCTTGGCACATGTTCTGCAGTACATCTGCTTCTCTTTCTGGAGAGCCAACCCCCACCCCTCTCCCAGGGGCCACTGTCAATACCACAAGCCCGCCATGGAAGTGTGCTATAAGTCTTTGCAGATGTCAAATGCAAAAAAGCAAACATGCTACAGAGTTGGAAGTGGGCACTGAATACATATTGTCCTTCTGCAGCACCACCCATACAACACTTGGCTTCAACCAATATTGTTTAATCACTCACAGGAAAACGAAGATCATATCGATAACGAAAATAATCACTCATCTCAGCTTTCCACAAAGCTGGGACAGCTGACATCTTTTACCTATCAGTTAAGAGTTACAGGGGCACAATCTGCAGATGCCTTATGTGTCCACATTTGGAACTCTTTCATTTTATACTTCCATTGAAAGAATTGCTTCCTAGAAAGGAACTGTGGTTCAGTCCATTAAGTTAACATTGTGAGCAAAACTCCACCACGATCAACCTCCTAGAAAAGCATCTTCCAGAATTTTTGTCCATGTTGCAGAAGGTGGGACTGGTCTCCTTGCGGACTCCCAAGTCAGAAAAGCCAGACTCCCTTGGTGTCTCAAGCTTAAGTACCAAGGTTACTTTTCTACCCAAGGTGTTTGAAGGGATTCCGCTATTACTTGCAACAATAGCACTAAACTTGCTGGATTTCATCAAAACCTTGTCTTTTCTAATTTGAATTGGTGGAAGCCAAGTTACAAGTTAAGTCCAGTATGAAAACAAGTATGCTACAATGAAGAGTCTTACCTTTAAAGCATAGTACAGCCTCTCTGCAAAGTAGCAATGGACGTTCCTGGTGCATTTCACTAGGCATACAAAAAGGCTCAGTAAGAATCAATGGTAATTCCAGTCCAGGGCAGCAGATAACAGAGATTCGACACGGTTTCCATTAATTCAGTGTGCCCCTGGGATCTGAGTTTATCTTGCCTAAGAAGTACCCTTTACTTCCTACCAGATACCTTTATAGAGTAGGTCCATCCCATGACAGTCAACTGCTGCAGGAAAAAAGGCAGCAGACTCAAACAAAAGAAAAGGAAGTGTAGCCACTCTTACCAATAGCCAGCATGGCATCCTCAAGTGAACCATGCGTTTCACTCTTGATAGAGTCTTCTATGCTCTTACCGGCCAGTTTCTGGTATTCTTCAAAGACTGTTTGAAACACAAAGAATTTCAATTTTTTTACCAAGCAACTGCTCAGGCATTTTGTGCCCAATATTTACAGGTATGCTTGTGTGGCAATATGAAAGAACAGATCCTGCTAAAACAATGGCCACATTTGCACCAACTTCAGGAGGCCTCAGTCAAGCCCAGAAATCAGCTACAAAAATGGATGCCAACATTCACAAAAACCCAACCCATCCACGGGTCTTAATTCCCTGCCTTCATTTGAAAATGCAGGTTCAGTCACCTCATATTTATTTTGAAATCTGATGCTTCATCACTGTCTTTAATCACAGAAATGAAGCAGACAACAGAAGGTTAGGCACCACTCTATCATTTGGTCTTGTGTTTGTTGATATCACTAGCTTCAGGAGCCAAAATCAAATCAAATTAGATCTAGGACTATGCTGCTCATGGCTCTTGGGCTTTTAAATGATGACAACAGTTTGGGAAAACTTATTATTTCAACCACGATTTTAAAAAAACTTAGGCACCACTCTATCATTTGGTCTTGTGTTTGTTGATATCACTAGCTTCAGGAGCCAAAATCAAATCAAATTAGATCTAGGACTATGCTGCTCTCATGGCTCTGGCTTTTAAATGATGACAACAGTTTGGGAAAACTTATTATTTCAACCACGATTTTAAAAAAACAACTGAGAAAAGAGGAGCAAAACACAGGTGCAGATTCCAAGATATTTGAACTCCCACATTAACAAAAGCTCAGCAACAGAGTTGTTGTTCACTTTATACACACTGGATACTCCAGGGTTCAGAATTACAGATCTCAGTTTCGATTCCTAGCTTTCAGACTAACAAAGAAGGAAAAGTAATGCAACGGACATCTTAATGATGTTTGCTCAGCATTCAAGATCAGATACCTGCAGATTCCAAGATATTTGAACTCCCACATTAACAAAAGCTCAGCAACAGAGTTGTTGTTCACTTTATACACACTGGATACTCCAGGGTTCAGAATTACAGATCTCAGTTTCGATTCCTAGCTTTCAGACTAACAAAGAAGGAAAAGTAATGCAACGGACATCTTAATGATGTTTGCTCAGCATTCAAGATCAGATACCTAAACATCAACGCTCAGATACTTCTGGGAAAGGTAATACCACAGAATAAACAGATGGATACAATCTTCTCAACTCAGGCCTACTCTCCATATTAAAAAAGAATTAGCTGCAACAATTACACTCAAGTTTTAAAGATAAACAGTTACAGGCTGCCGTAGCACAGAGGTAATTACTTGCTTGGTGATACAGTAGGTCCCAAAGATTGGTTGCATCCTGACAACAACTAGTTGAAATTCAGTTCCTAAAAGCAGACACGGCCAAAGACTAGAGACCACTTTTTTTTTTTTTTTCCCTAAGTGG